CCCCCCGCCCCCGCAAGGTCTTGAAAAAGAAATTTCATGCACTCGAGATCAACGTTACTTTGATAAATAGACGATATTACTTGGCTACGAAATTTTACGAGTGAAACACGGTATTTTTCAACATGTACAAGGGAAGAGAAATTTAGTTTCTTCAAGCGGCCATGTGATGTTCTATTATGATATTAATAAATACCAATGAAATACCAAACCATTTCTATTTTGTTGCGAAAGGTGCGATTTATTAAGTTACCATAGCAGCGGTGATCTTTTCACATGAGAAGATAACATGTTATTTCCACTTGTGAAGGTATGTTTTCGCGCGAAAGCTCACTTTGTGCTATGTAATAACACAATAGAGTTTATGTTCTTGGGCATAAATATGTTCTGGGCCCGACTCAGACTCATTTTAGCCCGAGCCGTTAGGCGAGGGTTAAATGAGCCTGAGAAGGGCCCAAAACATATTTATGCCAAAGAAAATAATCTACTTAATCTCTATTACTATTATGATCACTTTGGAGGGCATTGAGAAAATAACAACTGAAAAAAATGACAACAAAACAGTTTGAACAATCACGCGAGCATTTACAAGTTGAATGGCTTTTATTTTCCCTCAATGAAAATACACAATACATAATGCGAAGCTGGCTTGAAATTACAAAATCTTGCCATTTGAGTTTTCAAAAATTGTAGAAAACATGAAAGGAAAGTTCGATAAAGCTTATTTGTAAGTGTTGAAATTAATTGTACAATACACCGAATGCAAATATGGCGGATCACTCGGTCGGCGTCCGGGACGAGTCGCATGAAAGCCAGGCTAAGATTTAAGATTTAAACGACTTCAAACATCTTGTTCGCTTGTGTGAACTCGACATCTTCCAGGTTGTTTATCGACCTTGAAATAGGTTGTCTCGTAATTGTGCGGTGAGTAGCAGCTCGTATACCAGTCAAGGCACTTGGCGTGATATCTGTTTTCTTGTTTGTTTTCACCTTGGCAAAAAATCCCTTCAGTTCAGCGGGGCTCAAAAAAGATCACAGCTTATCTTTCGCTTCTCTAGCCACCGAGTAAACTTCTTCAAACCCCAAGAGATCTGTTTCTTGGTGTTTACTGGCACGGAATCAGCCTCTATATTTTGTAGATCTTCTTCCTCTAGTTGAGAAGATTGAGAATTTAAATTTTCTTCGTTGTTTACTGTGTTTTCAGCCATGATTTGGGCATGAAATTAAAATGGCGCCATCATTTCTTTCACCAACGCTGCAAGAAAACGGCGCGAGCATTGCAATGGCTTCTCTATCTTGATTGGCTGCATATATCGTACGACTGTTTGATTCTCACTTTTCATTGATTTATTTCAGCGGGCTAAAACACATTTTTAGCCCGCCAATGATTTTCCATTTTAGCCCGCAAAATGCCGCGCCACAATGCCCGACAAGGTGATAATAATAAATAAGAGTTTCACTCGAGCCAAACGTCTCGAACTTATTATTCTTCGATCTCACCATTTACATGTGTCGTTTACATTAGACATCAAGCGCCTTATTGGTCGTCGTTTCGACGAAGCTTGCGTGGTTTCTGACATGGAGAGGTGGCCTTTTCAGGTAATAAGCCGATGAGAATTATTTTGTCAGCTGCTAGACCATTAGCAATCTGTTTGTGGTAATATTTTCTTTAATTTTATTCACGATGAAGGTTATAGATGATTCGGGAAGACCAAAGTTTCAAGTGCAATTTAAAGGAGAGACAAAATCTTTCTTTCCTGAAGAGGTAAGGTTTCTGCAGTGCTTTAGTCAATGAGCCAGTTCGTCAGTCAGCCAGCCAGCCAACCAACCAACCCGTTTATATGGTCTCGGGTACCCGAGACAAGCCTTCCCCCTAGTTACCCCGGTAGAGCTAACTTTTCACTTATTTCCTTGCAAAATTCAACCAACCGTTTACATGAGGATCGCGAACCTGTCTCGACAAGTATGGTAACCCTGCTGGCAAGTAATGCCTAGATTTAAACCAGAGTTTTGTATCAAAGAATTGAAAATTAACTCGGCAAAACCCACTGTAAGAGAATGACCGAGGGAAACTCAAAGAAAGAGCGACATTTGCACATTTGATTGTTCAATGAGGGTTATGAATACGTTATCACATATAAGCGCTCAGTTACCTCACAGAGGGAGGGTTTTCTCGGACACCCGAGACCATATAAATGGAGCCATAGACGCAGGGTGCTTTTGCGAAAAAGTTTTGGAAAAGTGCTATACATTCTTTAGTCACAGCTCATATATTTATTAAGCTTTGGTTTTGCATTACATTGCTTTGTGATTGGTTGAAAAGTCTCGCGCGATTTTCTCATCAACTCCGAAGTAAACCAGAACCAATGGCGTCTCGCTCGCACACTTTTTCGAGCGCGTTGTGCCAGCTGCACTATATTTAGTTGATTAGTCTTGATTAG